AAATGCCTTACAGCTTAAATTTAGAATAATTCATATTGCAACTGGCAATATTAAATATAGTTATTACTATACTCTTAAAGTTGTTAATATTTTTGGCAAAGACATAGGTTTCCTAGTAACTCATATGAAAATCAATTAGCACACCCCTTCATACATAATTGATAACTCAGTAAATACACATATATACACTTGGAGTGTTTTTAAAATGTAAAATTCATAGATATAGCTAACTAAATAGAAGTTCTGAATAGTGTTTTATGATCTCACCATCAAATGCTCAGTTTACTTTGAATGTACAATAACATTTTTAAATATAACAGTACCTAATTAGACTGCCCTTGATAACCATTGTATGTGGTAGACTTACTATGTGAGCTCACTGCTCTGTAGACACAAAACTCTATAAATTAGGAAGTATGTTATAGATGAGAAAACTGACTAAGATGTTCTGTTGCTGTTCTTAACTCCAAAAGTAGGACTCGATCTCAGGTCGTTCTCACAATCTTATGCTATGCTAACTACAATGCCAACACATGGGAAGTTTAAGAAAATTGGTCTTGAAATTGATACCCAGTCAGAACACTTTAAAAAAAATCTAGTCTCAGGAATTTAATGATTAATTATGGTTTCCTCAAAAGGAACTGGGTGGCCCTATTCCTGACTAGTCCAAAGAAAATGATCACACCAGTAAATAATGCCAGTAATTATGGCAAAACCTATTGACAGATGATTTGTCTTGCTTCTTCCTGCCCCATGCATGAACTACAAATTAGCAGTTAGACCCAAGAATCAGTTACAGAGGGAAACTGTAACTTTACAGTGAAGAATCAGAACCCAGTGCTCATTATTAGCCTCATGTGTAGGGAAAAGCTATTCCATGACCGCTGATGAGATGCAAGATGAGAACACGTCACCTGCGATGATTTCTAGCCAAATGTTTGCTTTGATCTTCAAGCCTTTGGACCTAAACTCTATTTCAAGAATTACAAGAACCAGAGGAATAAATTAAATAACACTAGGAAGACGAAATGATGAGAATTCCGAAGATGGAACATTCTCCGGAACAACTGGCCTGTTCTCTTCAACAAGTCAGCATTATGGAGCAAAGAGACTCAGGGACACAGCACCCAGATTCCCTGCACGTCCTGGACTACACTCTGCTTCAGACAATCCATCTTTCATTGCAGGGGCAACTGTTAAAATCTGAATATGATAGAATATCAGACAATATTAAGAATGATTACCAGTCATATTAATTATGATAATGATGATTTGGCTACGTAGGAAGGTGTTCTTATTTTTAGAGATAAAATGTTAAAATGTCTATGTTTTACTTTAAAATATAAAGTTCAATATAAACATAGAGTTTTGAAAAATGGGAGAGCCAACTGTAAAAACAACTGCAAAAAATTTGAGTATAAATGCTTCAAGGTTCAAAATCACGGCCCAGCGTCACGGGTTATGGCTAACTGGACAAAATGATGCACAAAGAAGATTTAATCCCAAAAGGCCTCCCCGTCACTACCCCCCGAGTGCCAAACGAAATATTTTTAAAATTTGAAGTAAAATGTTAACTTTTAAAAGATCCCCTGATATTAGACAAACTTTTAAGCTTATTATACCAACATTGAGAATCACTAAAAGGGATTAGAAGACCTGAAATTATAACGTAATACTCCAGAGTAATCACAACCGAGGCAGAATGGAAGGCTGATTTTCATACCGCTGTCTTCGTTGCACCGGCTTCCTTCCCACACTCTGCACGGGAATTATTTCCTTTGTACGTTAATAAACATCCTATGTGCCAAGAACATACCTAACAAACAAGGAAGTGAAGTTCAAAGGTTTAGGCAGTATTTGGAGACCAGGATCCGCCCGTCCCTTACGAGCTAACATCTACTGTTTCATCACAGGGCTTTGATTAAATTGCTGCAGATGACAGCGCTGGTCTCCCTGCGAGTACTGTAAAGGCTACTAATGAAAAGTAAAAGTTTACATTCTTAGTGACATAAAATCGATCTAATTCAGACACAGGCAGGTGAGACCCACAGAGCACAAGCAAGTCAGGGAGCCTACAGCCCAGCACAAAGATCAAAGGGTGGCTTTTTCTACCCGTGCAAGGAAACGTGAAATTGAAACAAACAGCACCTGCCTTTGGGCATCGAAATAATAGATTAAAAAATTCAAAGGAAACAAAACAGAATAAGAGCAGTGAAAGCAAACCTGAGGCCCAGCTGCCTGCAGATCACTTCTGCGTCGGCGTCGTCCCACTGGTCGTCGCAGACGGTCCCCCACTGCCCGGCGCGGTAGAGCTCCACGCGCCCTTCTCGGGGGCTGCTCCCGCCAGCGAGGCGGACCGCAGGGAACGCCGGGCCTGTGCAGGGCGAAGTTAAACGAGTTAAACCTGTTGCATTTACACTGATTGATACGATTGGGTACATTTGATTCTTCTCCCATTCTCGATAATTAGGTAATATTTATGAAGGCACACCAGTGATGCGGACATACACATGCATATCTAATATATCACAGTAATCTTGACCCATTAAAATACTCCAAGATGAATTACATTCATACAGATAGCCCTTCAGAGGAAAACAGGCTAAATTCACTGTTCCCCAGCAACCTCAGAAACCAGAAAAGACACGCTGAAAAGCTGCAGATAACTGGGAACACATTTGATTTTTATAGTATTATGGTGGTGACACTGATGTTTTTATTTACAGTAACTTGAGTATTGCTAACATGCAATTATTATGAATGGCACTTGTGTCTATGACATTTGTTTTCAGTACAGACTTATTTTTGTATTTGTAGACATCAAGTCAAGTTAGTATCTTACTCATTATAACAAGCTGGTGAACATCGTGGCCAGCACCTCCCCAAAACAGGACTGGAACTCCACCTGGGCAGGAATCAGTTCATACTCATTTCCCCTGTAAGAACCATCCCAGGTGCTACACCCCCACGGTCTACCATGCCCTAGTCTAGCCCTGTCGGTCTGAGAACTCCTCCACCTACGCTCCTGGCCTCCTTCGCTAGGCTACAGCCACAATGGCCTCTTCCTTCCGTCCCCAGAACTCTCCACGCTGGTCCCACCTCAGGGCTTTGTGCCTGCCCTGCCTTCTGCCTGGAACAACGTCCCCACGGGTCTGCCTCCCTCTGTCACTCGGCTCTCAACTCCGGAGTGTCCCTTCTTCAGGAGGCTGGCTCGGGCAGAAACACCCGCCTCAGGCACTTTCTACCATGATACTGCCTCATTTTGTCTTCCTCAGAATATTTACTTTTATCTAAAACTGTCACTGATTTATTGTCTACATGTCAACTGACTCGCTCCTCTTGGCTAGGATGAGGACAGAGATGCCGCCTTCCCTTCCACCTGTGTCTCTGGGCACCTGGTATAGAGAAGGCATGTAGTAAATATTCCTTGACCGCCTGGATTGGCAAGTGATGCAAAAAGTCTGGAAAGGGTCTCTCAAACAAGGAAAAATAATTGGCAACATCCACTCATCCATTCTGTTTAACCAGCAGATACTAGACCCGTGCAGTGCGCCAGGTGTCACAGTTGGGGCCGCAGGGCATTCGAGGCGGTGCCAGACAGACCTGCCCTCAGGTTTAGTGCCTAACAATAAAATGAGTACAGACAAGAGATTATCAGGAAGACCCTACAGTGGTTCAGAAGCAGGGGCTCTTCCTCATAGTTTGGGGTAGTAAAGGAGTTCTTTGCGAAAAAGCGGGTTTCTGAAGAGGGCCAAAGAGGATGGATAGGATTTTGGAAGTCAGAGATGGGGGACGTGTGTTCAGGCCAATTGAACAGTATGAACAAAAGCACAGAAGCACAAAGGAAGATGTGTTTACGAAACAGTGAGGCAGCCTCATCTTACTGGAATAAAAGACGTAACATGGTCAAACTGAACGGGCCGGGTACCTGCTCTAGTTGTACTTTGTACTAAGTGCTAATCATTTATCCACGTGAAATATGCTTCTAATTCTCCACAGGGCACATGGCTGCCAGCAAATGGCATTTGGATATTCACAATATCATATTTGTGTTTTGTAGCAGAGATTTGGATTACTGAGTATTTGCATATATATCCATATTCTGATACTTGTAATATAATTTACTATATAAGTTAACTAGCACTTACAACTTGTAAAAGGATAAAAATAGGTTTAATACACAAGGCTAAATGATGGTAATATAACTCTCACAAGTTATGATGTTTATTTTTCCTTTAAAAAGCTTGGAAAAAAACAGAAAAAAATGATGAGATAAAAAGTATACATCTCTCAAGTTAACATATTTTCCCCCATGTGGTAAGCTTGGAGAAAACAGAAAAACAAAACTTTTTGCAAGGACATTTAAAATCATCTAGATCGAACTTAGAACCTTTATAGCGTACTACCATTCATTTTTTTATGTTGTGTTTTATTTTAAAATGCGGGTTTTGGGGTTTGGATAAGTTAATTGTTAAAATATAAAAAGTATAGAAAAGCACAGGACAAAATTTACTTAACAACCCTGTCCCCCCAACAAACACAAAAATCATTTGGAAAGAAAACTCAGCAAAGCAGCTAACTCATCTGTAACCTGCAGATAAGTAAAACTCCCCAGATTTCCATTGACACCGCTGCTGGAGCCTGTGTCTAACACCTGCATGCAATCTTCTTCGTAAATGTTGGAAAAGCTACAAGTACTAGATGACAAGCCACTAAATGGAATTCCCAAACTAAAAGAATGTATATTAAAGCTCTATCACTGTCCCTGAAGGTAGACTCAGTGTTTGCTGATTTCAGCTATACAATTTCACGTTGTTGTTTAATCTACCATGAAAGAATCTTTTTTCATTCTTACATCTAACTTATCACAAATCCCTATATTTTATATGTTTAGAAATGACTGTAAAATTATCTTTGTGGCCACATAATTTTATCTTTGTATAAACAAATGGATAGATTATAGAGGGTGCAAGGAGTAAAAACATAGATATATCCTGAAAGAAAAATAATTACTCTTTTCAAAATTTTACTTCACTACTTGAGTAGTGTGAAACATTATATCAATCAGGTTGAACAAAGAGTAAAACCAATAATCTACAAAAAGCAGTGCATTATTGGGCCCAATTCACATCATCATAGGAGCAGCACTGCATAAACATAGATTTGGCATAAGTAGCATTATCCAAAGGTAGAGAATCAAAAGAAGAGAAGGAAATCCACTCATGAATCATGGACATTTGGGTTGATTCCACATCTTTGCAATTGTGAATTGTGCTACAATAAACATGCCAGTGCAGGTGTCTTTTTGATAAAACGACTTCTTTTCCTTTGGGTAAATACCCAGTAGTGGGATTGCTCGATCAAATGGTAGGTCGACTTTTATTAATAGTTCTTTGAAAAATCTCCACACTGTTTTCCACAGAGGTTGCACTGATATGCAGTCCCACCAACAGTATGTAAGCATTCCTTTCTCTCTGCATCCATGCCAGCATCTATTGTTTTTGGACTTTTTAATGAAGGCCATTCTGACTGAGGTAAGGTGATATCTCATCTGGAACCAACCGGTGAGCACACACATGCATAGAGGGAAGTAAAACTGAATGGAAATGAACCAGGGGAGAGCGGGGACGAGGGGATGGGTGAAAACCTACCTAATGGGTACAATAAACAGTATCTGGGTGATGGGCACCCTTATAACCATGACTCGGGCATTATAAAATCAATCCATGTAACCAAAATTATTTGTAGCCCGTAATACTTTGAAATAAAAAGAAGAAGAAGAAAAGGAAAAACTTACAAGACATCAAGACTTAATATACACCTCTCTCACCCAAAAAAGTATTGTAGCTTTCAGAGCACACACCAGTACCATATCCTTCCATTGGTTCTTCCAGCCAATTCACAGGAATTACTCTAAACTGGGTCTGCGCGTTTTGTGGCAGGAGCTTTTTTATTCTTCCCCTGATACTTGTACTCAAATAGAAACCATTGCTGTGGGCTGACTACTACCATTTCAAGTCTTGGATCATCTGGTCATTCTGCTACCTCCAAGGAAAATGCACAAGGGGATACCGTGGTAGCCTCAGATTGTGGTCACACATTGAAGTATACCGTAGTACCCAGGAAACCCATTCACCATCTTAAAAGGCAGCTGTTCCTCCTCTCCTTATGTTGATATAACCATATGCATCTCTGCGTACTGCTAATCATCACATGCCCAATATAAGGAGCTTGGAAGAAGCTCCATTTTTAGGGAAAGTGATCTCTACAACCCCAAGGGGAACACTGATGCCATGATCCTATTACATTACACAAAATGACAATATCTTGGTGTAGCTGCTATCTTTTATATTTGGTTTCAAGATGATTTTCCATCTTGATTTCATCATGATTTTCCATTACTAAAATAAGTGTTTGATATACATATAGAGTATATAACATTTCTGTAAGCAAAGTATGTAAAACAGAAAATATGTTTAAAATGAGATACTATTTGAAAATTAAAATGGATTTCAAATTGTTAGACGTACTCATATTGAAGAATTTTTCATGAGACAGTAGAGTATTTCGATTCAGCCCTGTTTCTGTATTTAAACTCTTTAAGGAAATGATTTAACTAAGACACTGTTATCATCTGGAATCATGTTGAAACCACAATGGAAGTAAAACAACAGAATGAATTTTTTTTTTACCATGGGAAAAGCTACACGTGACAGCAGCCACCATCTTCCGAGGACACACCCCACCCTGCCAGATGTCTTTCTCACACAGCAGTATATTTTCTTCATCTCCTCGGCAATGAACGTTGCTCCAATAAATGGGAATAAGGCCCAGTCCAGAAAACGGGGTTTGTTTTGCTATTCCTTTTCCTCTGGAAGTACAATGACGGATGTTAGGTTTACCAAATACAAGCAAAATTTTTAATCAAAGTATTTGATTTTAAAAAATGGAAGAAATCCATAAAGATGGATGTGCAAGAAAAGAAAGAAAGAAAAAAGAAAAACACACTGATTTACATAAATTTCAAGGAAATCAAAACATCAGATCAGAATTTGGGTTGATTACCCGTGGCAATCTTTTCATCAATCTTGAGTAACTATTTGTACGTGCCTTTGCTATCTATCACTGATTTAGAAGAAAATAGCCAAGTACTGCAGATATCAAAAGGGAGTCCAGATGGCTTTGTGCAAGAAATGTGTCACGAGGCCCAGTGAGGCATGGATTCCCTTCTGGACTCAGCTAAAAGTCACTCTAAGCCACAAGTCTAAGGTTCTGCCTTCTAATCTGTCAAGAGAAAAGTCTGTGTGCTTGAAGATTCTTTCTGACTCAAGTATTCCAGGCTAGCATTTTCAAAATGATTATTATTACTACATCTAAGCACAATAATATCAAGAGGCAATCCATTTATCATTTTAAAACCTTATATTGTATACAGTATTTGCTAGCAAGACTTTGAAACTGATTAACAACACAGTAACATGCAGATGGGCTCTGCTTTTAGCTCAATCAATCCACGTATTTGTGTAGGTAACTTCTGATGTGCACAAATTGATATCAAACTTTAAAAAGATTAAACACTTATCTGATGCACATGGTAATCTCTACAATGGTCTCCATGCTGCAGCTTCCATCAGCCAAGCAGTAAACATGTGGAGTGTATCTAAAAATATGAATGTGTCTTCACAGCAATCAAGCTGGGTTCTCTGCTTTTATTGTGCAATTCTTTTTTTAAAAAAATGGACTACTAAGAGATGATACAGTATAAGCAACTGGACCAGCTTATCTGAAGTTTATGTTTACAGAATGATAGTTTACATTCTTTCATCAACCAAAAGACTAATAACCAGCTGGGCATAGTGGTTCAGGTTTATAATTCCAGCACTTTGAGAGGCCGAGGTGGGAGGATCGCTTGACGCCAGGAATTCGAGATCAGCCTAAGCAACATAGCAAGACCCCATCTCTACAAAAAATCTAAACAAAATTAAGCAGGCATGGTGGTGCATGCCTGTAGTCCTAGCTACTCGGGAGGCTGAGGCAGGAGGATCGCTTGAGTCCAGGAGTTTGAGGTTGCAGTGAGCTATGATGATGCCACTGCACTTCAGCCTGGGCAATGTCTCAAAAAAAAAAAAAAAAAGCTGTGCCTAGGTTTCCGTAGGAGCCAGTTCCTGGGCCAGCAACTCAGGATGGCCAGACACTGCCAGGGCTGACGGAACCTGCCATCTCTCACAGGACCTCCTCAGCCCAGAAACCCGAGGTCTGGAACATCACCCTTTACCCAACACAGGATAAGAGCAGGAGTAAACATCACCCCTTCACACACACACACAAAAATGGAATTTGTGGATGGCTAAAAATAGAATGCTAATAGCAAATGACAGTAACCTAAAGCAGTGTAGGCTACTAAGAAACCGTAATTCTCAGAATCAAATTACTTGCACCCTAGGCCTAAACAATTATTTTGTTAAAGACAAAGGCCAAAAGATGCTTTAAACTTTTGCCCACTTAGCATTTACCCGTTTCCTAGTTCCGCAGGGGCAGCAACATGGGAAGTGCGTTTGCATGTGAGAGAATTCATTCCTTCCATTTGGGACCCTTTCTTTACAGCTCTTTTGTGAAAAGAGAGAATGAGGAGAGTGACAGTAAGAAAGGAAGATGCAACCTTTGCACAGCAATGAGGGTGCTCGGCATTACTCTCAGATACTAGAAGGCTGATGCGGTCGGGGACGGGTGAACTCACCCCAGCTGCAGTTGGCGACAAATGACTGACGCATCAGAATCATCCCAGTGGCTGCCACAGACCGCGCCCCAGACTCCACTTGCATATACTTCGACTGTGCCTTCAAACTCATTTTTGCCTCCACGCAGTCGCACGGACCCTAAAATGGAAAAGAATCCCAAAACGGTTTAATAGCAAATAGACAATGAACATACTGAGCTGGTCCTAGTTAACATGTTTTTTACACTGAAGTAGGGAGAGATCCAGCCAGGATGGTTTAGCCTCCACTGTACACAGCGTGTGCTTTTCCTTCAAATGAGTAATTAGCACATTCTTCTTTTTTTCAGCAGTTAACATCCTGACATCAATGCTAATTATTCTTTTTTTTTTTTATTCTTTCTTTTTTATCTAGGCAGAATCCCATGATAATTTTCAAAGGGGAAAAGTGGAAGAGTATGACTAATATCAGACCATATATCCCAAATATGAGATTACATCACATAGGAAGCTCTTATCACTTGTCTATCTTTACATGAGGTCATCGATAAGAAACACAGAAACAAAATTAAATGCTCTGCTTATAAATTAGCTGTAATTATCTATGTTATATTTTCCTTCTGTTTGATTTGTTCATCCACTACAGAATAAAGTGCTTTCCCCCTTTTAACCTGAAGCAGTAGTCATAAAAATTCTAAAGATTATGTCCATAATTTCAAAAAGATGTTAGTTTTTAAAATATTGCCTAATGTTAGTCTTAGAAAAATAGCTGCTAGGTAGTTTGCATATTTGAATATCCCTGGAAATTTGCCTCCTCTTACATATCACCCCACTGAGATGGCCCAAAGTCCACAATCTGAGTCATCCTTTCAGTCTTTAAAGGAGCCAAAATTTGAATTCAAGCAGTCCCGGGAAAGCTAACATTTTAAGTCTTATCCCTTCAGTAGATCAAGGCCCTACATCCCTCCTGTCATTGGGACTGATTGCAGCATGGGCACTAGGAGACACCAATTGGGACGATTAAACAGAAATAGATTAAATTTAGACAATTTAAGAATTTCATCAAATTCTGCTAAAAATCGCCTACGATGGCATTTATTTCCAGGTAAGGTAATTTAAAAATCAAGAAAAAAACGGGCCGGGCGCAGTGGCTCAGGCCTGTAATCCTAGCACTCTGGGAGGCCGAGGCAGGCAGATTGTTTGAGCTCACGAGTTCGAGACCAGCCTGAGCAACAGTGAGACCCCCATCTCTATTAAAAATAGAAAGAAATTAATCGGACAACTAAAAATATAAATAGAAAAAATTAGCCGGGCATGGTGGTGCATGTCTGTAGTCCCAGCTACTCGGGAGGCTGAAGCAAAAGGATTGCTTGAGCCCAGGAGTTTGAGGTTGCTGTGAGCTAGGCTGATGCCACGGCACTCACTCTAGCCAGGGTAACAGAATGAGACTCTGTCTCAAAAAAAAAAAAAAAAATTAAGAAAAAAACGAACTCCTACAAAAATATTGTAGCATAATTTGCATAGTTCAAAGTTATTCTATATATGGCTTTATAATAATTTTCCAAAAATGTTAGATTCACTAATTATCCATTCATTTCATTGGTGCTGGCTTAGTCATCCACCACTATTATTTTCTACATCATCATCCTTAAAAAATGTAAGCATTTAAGAAAAACATATCATATTTCTCATGTCTAAAACAAAGTCTCATCTAATTCAAACAAAAGGCAATAATAAACACAGGCAAACATTGTACAGTACTGCCAAACCCTGATGATTCAGTAAAGAACACAAGCCTGGGGCATTCATATGACAGATCATCTACAAACCATTCATACATTCTAAACCTCTTCAACGCACACCAAGCAAGAAGCCCTGCCCAGCTCAGTGAGCTACAGAACGTTTTTAATGATTATGTCTGAAGAGTTCAACTGAACTCAGAGATCCACATAATACTAAGCACATCACACATGCCAGCAGTTTATTTTCATCAAAGAATTCCTTTGTTAACCTCAAGCAAACATTATTTGAAAAGATATTTACATTAATGTATTATTTCTTTACTAATTTCCCCCCAACCACCAAATAGTCATGTCAAAAGGGTTAGAAGAAAGTTCTAGTAATGAAAACAAACTCAAACTGTACTTATGCATGTTAAATGATCATCATAAGATTTAAAATAGGGCCTAAATCAAAAAGCGCTCAGGAAGAAATGATGTACACTATAATCTAAAGGACCGAGGCACTCAGAAATGAAAAGGAGAAAACAAACACTGAGCCAAATATAATTATGACGTAACAATATAATGGCCACAACAGAGGCAGAAGTAGTTTCCAGGTCAACTAGGGGCTGCACCATCACTCTCTCAAGTGCTCCAAGCGCTGCGGAAGCCTGGCTCAGCTAGCAGTCTCTGCTACATGGCAAGAAATGCGGCTGTGCTCCTCCAGTTTTCCTTTAGCAAATGCATGCAAATATTTGCAATTCTGGAAAGCAATCTGCATGTCAGTGACTAATGAATTCTCTGTCATGTTGTACTCCAGGCAGGACCAGCCCTCACACACACACACACGCCTTCCTGGCCGTGCGTCCACAGGGTTTGCCTTGACCCTGTCCTGAGGGCCGTAACAATTTCTAAAGTATTTCGAGGAAACCATCTACCTTGAACTCAGGATGAGTATTTCTTCATGTTATATAACTCTATGAAATTCTCAATCCTTCTAATAACTATTTGAAACCTCTTTTTTAAAAACAGCATAATAAAATGCTCTAAAATAGTAAAAGTTTGAAGACATCATTTATACTATTGTACAGGTCAAGGGAAAACTTTTTCTTTGTCTTCTGAGGGTCCACCAAAAATTACCGAGAAGGGGCAGATTAACGGGAGAAAAGACATATGAATTTATTTGATCATAGTTTCACGTGACATAGGAGCCTTTAGAACGAAGACCTAAAGCTACAGGGAAAACTGTCTACTTTATGTTTAGGTTTAACAAAGTATGGACAGCTGTGTAGAAAGATGACTGAACAAAAGGGTATGGTCTACTGTTAATAGACTGGGTGGGGAAACCAATAAGGCCCATGTGTTTGGATTTTTCTTGGCCTCCTTGGATATGTATTTTTTTTTTCTGGGTACAGAGCAGGCCCCTCTCTGGGATGGGAGTCTTCTGACCTATAATC